TTCTCCTGTGTACCTTTTCTCTTTCAGTACACGGTCAGTAAATGTTATACTTCTGAAATCTTTTCCATTACAGCATAATCATTCTTAAAAAGTCTTAAAAACTGAATTTCTGAAAAATCATAACTTGGATCTATGAGCATGCTTCAGCCCAATGTCCATATTTTAAATTCTCTATTACATCAACTATTAAAACAAAAGGTGCTTGAATCAAAAAATCAGGATGGATCTTGATCTGGATCCTATTCCAGAAAGGCCAAAGCTTTTTTAAAGTTCTAGGACTGGATAGTTCTACCAAGTGACTACTGCATTGCTCTGTAGATGGTTGATTTTCTACAAAGGATCTAGAATTGAGGAACATTATGACAAATATGAGAAGTCCCATAAAGTGTAAAAGAATAGAGCAAAAGTGAAAATTTCTTTACAGTCCCATTCCAGATGCATTGAAGGCCCCTATATTTAGTAGTTTAAGTGTATCAGAATTGAGTTCCTTTATGACTGCTTCTGGTCATGATTATTTTTTACGGTTCATATTTATCAGCTAACCTCTTTTCCTGACTTTTACATTTGAGATTATTTTTAGAACTCATCTCTTATAAAGGATGTCTCCAGTGTGAGGAAATCCTCTGGCCACCTCTGATTTAAAAGCAGTGCAAAATTCCTGCAGTCACTTTATCTTCTGGAGCCCTCTTTTACACCTTGATATGCTTTTCATCCAGCCCACATCTTGGCAGGCTTTCTGCTTCTAATATGTTTAAATAAAATGATATGACTAGTTTTTATGTCTTAGAAATCTGTTCCTCACAGTCTCACTGGCAGGACTTACTGGTATTTTATACTCAACTTGCATGTGTTTATGCTCTGTTTTGGTTTTAGTTTCCTCATTTGTTATGATTTCTACTTTTAAACAGTATCTTACGTATTTGTAAAAGCCTCTTTTATCAACTGTTCCTGGGGTCCTTTCCAAGTGATTTTTTTTTTAGTGCAGTAAACGTGCCTTTATGGGAGATTATGTGCTATTAGATAGCCTCCAACTGTCGTGCAAACACGTTATATTTGATAACTGATCTTAAATTGTTTTAATTAGCTTCAAGTTTTTGAATGTACATTGTCTTTTCAAAGTTAAATGCTACTGTGATGAAGGGTTTGTCTTTTAAAAATACATGCAACATTGTTCTGTACGATGCACTAAAAAAAGCTTTCCTCTGACCAATGACAAACAATATCCTGCGAGCTGCTCTCAGGATGGCCAGCCAGATATCTCCTCTCTTCCACAAAGGACTGAGATTGCTCTTTCTCTAACAGAAAATAGTGTGCCCAACATCTCTTTGTCTCACTTTCACTGTTTTAATTTTCTCAACAAAGATGTGTGTTTTGACAGATCAATGTTTCTGTGTTTTGTCTGTCTTAGCTGCTTCATGTTTCATTCATCTAAACATTGCATATGAATTTGCAGCTTGATCCTAGAAGACACTAGAGCATCCTCCTATACAGAAGGAAATCCAGTGCATCAACTTTTAGCTACTTCATTCTAAGAATGTGAAGTACTGGAAGATATCAAAAAGAATTCTGTTCTAGATAGATAGGGTGTTTTTTTGTTGCACAGATAGCATGTTTGAACTTTTTTTTTTTTTTAACTTTGAACATGTTCAACAAAAAGTTGCAAGAAAATTTAGAAATAGGAAGTTACTTGAGAAAGAGCATGAAGTGTTTTTTGTCTAATCATGAACTTACCAGGCCACCAAAAGCTGAGAGCCAGGGAGCTGACAAGTTTTATTGTCCGGATTCACAATGGTGGGGTTCAGAATAAGCTGAGCATTCACTGTCACAACAGGTCTGGCTCTGAGGAACAGAAATAAGGTTCACTGCATACAGAAGCAGCACATTAGTACCTAAGTTGCAGCAGAGAAAACACTTAACGGAGATAGCCACAAAGAAGCAGGAAATGTCAGGTTACTTGGCAGAAAACACTTTTATAATGCTGCTCCTACTCAAAAAAACTTTTTTTTTTTTTGGTCAGAAACTGTGATACCTCCTACTATGACATTTTGAAAGTTCTTCACAAAAAAATCACAGGTCAACAGCATCACTGAAACAGCATCCTATAGTTAAGCTACCGGTGTGTCCTGGGTCTAAGGCACATGTTTCATCACATTGGGATCTCACAGAGACAGAGTCTGCCTTTTGAGATTTACAGCAGTCCTTTGGCCATGATTTTATACTGTTGGATTTGTTTGATGCTGTCACTGTTAACAGTTTCATATTCAGACTCGTTACCTCTGCTTCAGATTTTTAAAAAATAAACATAATTTGGTTAATGTAGAAGATGATCTAGAATATCTCGAGCTAATAAAAAAGCAAACTCTGTTAAAATGTCTTGAGATAATTGACTTTGGAAACCAGGAATAATCATCACAAAATTCTGCTGAGTATGTGAATATATAGTTGTGGTGATGGCAATCATTCCTCTGAATAACAGTCTGTTATTAAGTAATGAGATAATCTATAACTGAGAGCAATTTAGAAGAGAAATGAAAACAAGAAAGGGTCTAAATTCTGGGATTTTTTTTTTAAGACAGCAGTACTATTTCACAGTAACTTATACAATTCTGGCTAAACCAGCTTATTATGAAATTACTTTTCTCATATTTTAATCTGCAGCTGAGCTTTTATGATTACTTCTCTGTATTACTTCAGCAAGACATCAAAACCTAAAATTACTTTCTTCATTTTTGTGCAACAAGAAAAACCTTTTTAGTAGCAAATTTCAGTTAATAAAAACCTCCAATGTGACAAGTTGCATATATGATACACTCTGGCCACACTTTCTTAAATTAAACAGAACGCTTTTTAAGTGCTATCTAAAATACACATTGGATCTAATTCTCTAATGTTCCACATCCTGTGCAATCATTCATGCCACTGCAAAGTGGTGCACTGCAAAGTATCTGCATGATTCTTTAAAAGGGCAGTAGCAAAATCAGCTCTACTCACTGTACCTACAGCATAAGCTAAAAATGAACATTGCTATTTTACAAAATTCTAATGCTTTGACAAACATTCGTTGGGAACCAGAACACACCCTCTCTCAGTCAAGTACTGTTAGGAAGACAGACAACAAGCAGACAGACAGGAATTAAGAAATATGACTGCATTGTTGCAGCAATGGATGGTGAATATTTAAATGCAAAGAACTATCGGCACGGCTGAACTAAGAGGGCAGCAGCAGATTTTTGTTTATGTATTTGGTAGTTTTAATTTATACCTCTAATCAAACAGGGCATTTAGTGAAAATCTATAGTCAGGAACAACTTTGTGATTTGTTTAATGGGATCTTGTATGTTTTTTCTAAACTGTGGCTAAAAGCAGCAGTCTTTATTTTCAATAAACTGTTCACATCTTAATGTACACGACCTTCTGTACTTCTAAGAACTTCTTCACAGTAAGGGTAACAGAACACTGGAACAGGCTGCCTAGAGAGGTTGTGGAGTCTCCCTCTCTGGAGATGTTCAAAACCCGCCTGGACGTGTTCTTGTGTGATCTGATCTAGGTGGTCCTGCTCCGGCAGGGGGATTGGACTAGATGATCCTTTGAGGTTCCTTCCAATCCCTAACATTCTGTGATTCTGTGTGACCTATGAGGAATCAGAGTCACTTGAAAATTTCTTCCTAGCACCATTCCTCCAGGAAAGAAGTTACTTTCCAATGTGATGCTTTATCAATTTCTTATTTAAAATTAACTGAGGAGCCAAACATTCCCGAAGAAGTTTCTTGAGATACGACTAAGCATGGAAATTTTCACTGAAAATGACAAGTTTTGAGCATGTGAAAAAGGCACTTGTTTCTCACAAGATGCTAAATTTATCATCTATAATGAGCATCTTTTACACATTATGCCAGGGAAACACAGGAATGTGAAATTCATTTATTTACAGATCTCCCACCAAAGCTGTAAAATAAAAAGTCTATTGTATTTACCACGTACCTGTAAACAACTGCTTTTCCAGCTCCAAATGCACCTACAATTAAATCTGGAAAAACAGAACAGCTTCAGAAGAACTATATAGAAGCCTTATACTTTTATTTTGAGCCTAAATTAGACTATTTACATTAAAAATGCAGTAACATAAAACAAACATGATAATTCCTTTCCAACTAATTTTTCAAAAGTTTACCTGAAGAATACATTTTGCCTTGTCAGAGATGGCCTCATAAATGTCTTGGCTGTACCCAGTAAATGCCAACCTATTTAACACAATGTCACCCATGCCACAATCTGGCTTCTCTCCAACTTGTATTCAAGGGGAAAAAGGATGCCATTAACCCTTATACATTTTATTTCAAACCATTAATTGCCTATTACACAAGGAGATGCAAATCACTTTGTTGTTACTCTCATATGGGTCATATTGAAAATTTATAGTGTTCCTTCCTGACAATCCTTCCCATCCTGTTTTTTGTTTAAAGTAATTTGTTCATTCCTTAAGGCACTTGCATTTCTGTGTATATAAATACAATGCACAGGCCAGCGGAGGGCTGATTTCATAGTTTCTAAGTATTTCAACATTGTAGCAGCGTGTGCTAATGCTTACAGGAGTTACCCATCTAAAGCCATCTTTTTCCCCTGTCAGTCACCCTTCGAAACCCATGGAGTCAGCAACACCAGCGCTACACTGGGCCTTGGGCACATCTTTATTACTGGACATCAGCCTGCGCTGGCAATCTAGAGGCCCACATGGTTCCTCGTTTTGCCTGCAGTCCACACACAGGGCTCTCTGGAAAGATCCAGACTGGCTTGCTGGACTACTCAGGCCTGCTGCAGAAAAGCTGGGGCCAAGCAGTGAGGAAGGAGGATCCTGGCTGGAGGACAGATCAAGAAAAGGCAAGAGCTTTGTTTCATTATCAAAGCCCCTAGGGTCCATCTGGGCACACCTCTCGCTCCACTGTTGTTATCATGTGATTTACACATGTCCAATTCAGTAGACAGAATCTTACCACAGACCTCACAGTGGTACAGTCTAGCAACCTAAATTGTCTTAAATGAGTTAATTAAACCAGTACACTAGGTTGTAAACAAACCCTCACTTGCTGCTTCCATAGTTTGAGCACTGGCTTGCTTAAGAAGCTCTGAAGTCATCGAGCATGATGCTTTGATGCTAATTAGCTGGGTGGGTTTGGGCCAGGTCTGGCAGCAAGTTTTTCACTGCACTGTCCGCCTTTCAGATGGCCAGGATTTCACAAGTTTAAACAAGTACTCTACAGGGACAACAGCCTGTCCTACAATGAATTCCACTGAATAATGTTCTAATAGGAGCAGGCATGGACAGTTTATGGGTCTGATCCTCTTTTTCTACAACATTTACATTTTTCTACTTCCATTGGCCTTAGACAAATATGCTTCAGGGTCAGGAAATCTTTAAATAGCAGACGAAAATGAGTGTTGTTTCTATCTCCTTTTTGGGACATTTATGAGTCCTTTTCATTAGCAGCTTCTATAGACAACTTGCACACAGTACCAAGCCCTAAAGATATTTTCCTCTTAAATAAACAACTGATTGAGACATAGCCATCACCATAAGGGCTACACAACGCACATGGCAGAATACTGATAGCAGCACCCATGGTAACCTCAAAAAGATTTAATATTCTGTTTGGGTTTTTTTGTTTGGTCGTTTGGTTGTGGTTTTTGTTTGTTTGTTTGTTTTCTTTTAAGGAAAAGGAAACATTATGTTATGAAGAGAAAGGGAAAGACAAGGAAGGGGTTTCTGTTCTGTTGTTCCCAGCTGGATGGTCTTTATGAATTCTGCAACAGATTTAACTTAGGGTATGTACTGTTTCATACTAGACTTGATAACTCAAAAGGTTTCAGTACAAGGCTATGTTATGGCAGAGACAAAACAGGTAGATATCCAAGAGTTACCCAGATCCTAGTCTTGCGATGATTTTGTAATCTGGTCTTTCATTAAAAAATAAAGCACCCCAATTCTTTATGGGCACAAGGAAAAGCTTGAATATGTAACTTGAGCAAGCTTAATAAAACATAGCCTGTTTGAATCTGAAGGTAAAAAGAATGAGCCTGTCGGATACACTCTGCCTCACTAGTACGAGTGAACTCTTCATTTCTGTACCTACAGCTGTGCAGACTTAGTTCCCCACTGTCTCGACACCCTCACTTTAATATTTGAGGGGATTTTGTACATCTGCTGAACAGTTAAATCCTGGCTTCTTCGGGACAGAGCCCAGCTTATTTGAAGACAGAGGGTAACAGGTCTAGAGGAGCAATGATAGGTCCCAGCCACCAAAAGACTGGTTTTCCATGAGCAGTCTTTCTGCATTGCCACCTCAGCTGAGTTTGGAGACACAGTAAAAACGATGAGGACATTCAATCATGGCACCATCACAAAGGCCGTATTTGAGCATACTCTAAGGTCAGGCAGGACTGTGTTCATCTTGCTTTCATTTGGAAGCTCTTATTTTTTCCATGGCATATCCTTTATCCTCTGGTCTAAGTCATGCTTATTCTTGAACCAAAGAGCTTGAATGAGTGAAACTACTCAGTAGGAAAAGTGCACTTAAGAATGAATATGCAAACAATAATACATACTTATACCCAGCAGTGACATCTATGATATAATAGAACAACCAAGTCATTATATATTCAAACAAAGTATTCACTGAAAGATCCATTAGGGATTTTGCTTTGCTTCTACTGTTCTATTACAGAGCAATAGTTTTATTCTTCTTTCTTTCATTGCCTTGTGGGGTTCAACTCCTACACCTATCATTGGAAAAAAACATTTTTGACATTGATATGAATCCATGAGATTTGAATACCTGTGAAATCAAGAGTACTTTTATAAGCAGAAGGTTTGAATTTGTTGTGTGCTCTGCAGAAGAAAAGTTATTAATCATTTCTATGAAAAAATGCATGAGATGTCTAAATTATCTGAAGTTTGGCAACTTTTCCCTCCTAAAAATAGAGAGAAGTTGTCTTTATTCATCTCTTGTTAAAGTTACACACGCAATGTCACTAGCTGAAATGTCACTGACGCAAAGGTCACTAGCTGAAAAATAAGAGTTTAACAAGCAATTTGGAATTATGTAGCAAAAAAAGCCATCATAACTACTTATAATCCTTCCAAACAGAGCCTGAAGAAAAGTATATGAAAACCTGTACTCTTTTGCATTTGTGAGGGGGCATTCAAGCCCAGACTAAAATGTGCATAAACAAAGAGAGAAAGAAAGAGAGAGAAGTATCAGGATCACAAAACCTCCTTTGCTCCTTCTTTTCTCATGTTTCATGTTTTCAGGAGGATGAAGGATCTCACAATTTAAGCAGATGACCACTTTGTCTATGTCATCTCCTTGAGAAGATCCTTTATCGGCTGCTACCATTCAGAGAAGCAGAGATCTGTAAGGAGGGGCTGGTGGCAGCAGCCGTGCGCTTCTGCCCCATTGCTGTTGTGGAATAAATGAGCTGTGGGGTCACAACCATATCGCAAAAACTAAGAAAACAAGCACGGAGTGACTCCGAAGGAATTTCCAGCTTGCATTTCAACACAGCTTGAGGGCTGTATGCACTAAAATCCCAACCGGTGGAGTTCACAGAGCTTAATCCTGAAACAAGTGTCTTTGGCACGTGCATAACTGAAGTCAAGGGACACTACGCAAAGCTAAACAATCCTAATGTTTATTTCAAATTTTATTTTGCTCTGAAGGGACAGCTTGCAAGTTGTTGTCTGGTGAAGAAAATCCGTTTTCTGAGATAAAATTACCACAAAAACTTAAGGAAAGAGTATTAACAGATGGCACTGAAAGGCACACTGAATTTTGTAAGCTGGTCTGTTTACCTGCACCTTCTGCCATGTGGCTGTGCTAGACCTGAAACACCATGTGATAAAGGGCAGAAACTTGCCATGATGCTGACTAAGCCTTTAATCAACTCGATGAAGTAGGAAGATCAACGAAGTCCTACCTCCAGTCTCAACAAGATATATTGATTTATTAACTTGAGCAAATTCTTTAATCCCCTGGTATTTTTAAAGGACATCTCCATCCCTTGTGAGAGATGCAGCCCCAGGGAGCCTGACCAGGGAGGAACAAATAGAGTGCTCAGTACTCCACTCTTGGTTGGAGTCTGTCCAGCAATCCCAAGACAAATTACCAAGACATGGTATTTCATCTTGCTTCACAGGGGACAGTGGCCAAGAACAACAGCCAATGAAAGACTACATAATTAGCAAACACTCACTTGTGAGAAATCCAAAAATGGAACAATAGATAGCTCAGTCATCTCCCTGCTGCAACTCTACCAGGATATGAGCAGGAAAGTGTTGACTTTTTGGACTCAGAACGGTTTGCTGACAGCTTTAAACATCACTTTGTGTAGTCTGTCAATTTAATTGCATAGTATGAATAGGAACTGGAAAACAATTGGAATCTTATCTGAGTACAGGTGCTAATGGAAATTTCATAAAAGAGAGTGAGAAAACTGCATAACTGGAAATTCTGCTAAAAAATCTTTGTGACCCTTTTTGGTTTTTTAGTTTCCTCAGATAATTAGGTGCCAAAAAGGCCCACGATCAGGTTTCTGTTTGTTTTCTGGAATTTCAGAGAGCACTACACTCCCAAATCTCAATAGGAAACGTCCAGAATAAAATTTCCTTTAAATGATCACGATTTCAGGCTTGACCATAATAAAGGATACAGGATTGCCTAGTTCAGCCAAATTTACTCAAGAATTTTACTCAAATACCACAAAAAACCACCACCCAAAATAGAGTCTCTTTCTTCCAATCCTACCATTCTCAACTGCCTTAATCCTTCTCTGATTTTCAGCCATTGTGGTAGTAGGTCTGTTAAGGATAACACTCAAGGCTAATTCATTTCAGTAATGAGTCCCTTTCATAATACAATGTTATTATTCACTTCATTGTACTACAGACAAATCCAAAAGAGGGCAGTTGTTAACGTTCTATCACATTAGTAAATCCCTACTTACTGGGATTAATTGTTCTATTCTTATATTCCA